TATATATATATATATATATATAAATATATATATATATATTTTAAATTATAAATATTTTTTATTTATAATTTAAATAATAAGTTTAATATATGAATAAATTATTATGTTTTTTATTATTTTTAATATTTTTATAATAAATAAACTCTTTAGATGCTTTTTAATTAGATAAATGTGTATAAAATTGTTAACCATGTATATAATCATGTTAAGAAATGGATGTAGAGGACGATTATTTATCCTGCTATGATAATTGCAAAAATAATCAATGTATAGAAGCTTGCTAAATACTTAGCTAATTTGATTAATAACATATGAATTGTATATAATATTGCGAAGCATTTTAATGCGATTAAGAATGTTAAAATTCATAAAAAATATTTGATTAATGTTTTGAAACAAATAAATTAAAAATAAGTAATATTTATTAATACTAAGATTTATTTCAAATAACATGTGCAAGCTAAAATAATAAATTATAATTATTAAAAAATTGTATTGGATAATGTTATTCAATAGAAAATAATAAAGATAATTTAAAATTTGTTTTTCTCTATTTCTTTTTAATTTTTATTATTATTTAAATATGAAAAAGTATATATATTGAAAAAATATGTTTTAGTATGATTATTCAATATAAATAAAACAATTATTTGAAAAAAAATAATAACAAATGTAAATAAAATGAAAAATATAATTTTAAAATATAAAATTTTCTTCATTATTAATCTTAATCTTAATCTTAGTCTTCTTCTTAAACTTAATTTTATTCTTCATATAAATCACTTTCATCATTTTGATCATTATTCTAGTATTCTCCATCCTATTCTTAATTGTATTCTACTTACTATTAATCATATTCTTATTATTACTCGTAATCTTCTTAATTTTAATTATACTCTTAATCATTCTCATTTTCTTAGTTTTCATTTATATTATTTTAATCAATATTAAATAAATGTAAATTTTCAGTAAATAATTATTTAAATTATTCCTTTATTTAATATATATATATATATATATAAATAAAAAAAATTACTAGTTCATTATTTATTCTTTCATTTTCTTCAGTTAAGATATTTTTTTCTTCATTCATATGTTAAAACAAAGATTTGAATTTTTCTATTAATTCTTCCATTTTTTATATTTCTAAGTCTTTTAATTAAATATTTTCACCCACTTTAATAAATAAAATAATAATAAAATATGTATATATAAATTGTATATAAAAAGCTTTATAACTTTATTTTATTATTTTATCTTTTTATTCATTTTATTCTTCGATTTCAATTATTTTTTATTCCATTAAATTCTCTACATCTTTTTATTCGACTTCATTTTGAATTTTTTCATTTAAAAATTTCAAGATTTCTGGATTTTCTTAGATCGTTTTTATTAGAGGGTCATCTGCAAATTAAGTTTGAAGTTATAATATTTTTTCTTAAGATTCTTTTAATAAAAATTCAAATTCATTTAGTTTCTCTTCATACTCTTATTTTATTTAATTTAGCTATTCATTCATTTAAATATACTATTATTCAAATTCATTTTATTATTAATTTAATTAATCTTAAAGTTAAACATTTTTCTGATTTTCCAGTTTTAATAAGACAATTTACTCATTTAACTATTATTTTATAATTAATTTTTTAATTGCTTATCAAAAAGTAATTTTTATTTTTTTAATATTACTTAATATTCGAGTTTTTTCTTTTCTTCTTCAAATTGTTTTTATGCTTAAAGCATTAATTATTAATGTTCTTATTATTATTATTTTATTTATTCACAACATTTATGTTCGATCATTTTTTATTATTATTCCATATTTTCAATCTTTTATATTAAATATAATATTTGTTAAAAAATATTAAAAAAAAAAAAACTTATTTTTGATATAATTTGTTATTTTAAGTTAATTCTTATATTTCTTTTTTTAGTCTTTCTTCATTTTAATTTTTGATTTCTTATTAATTTTATTGATTAATTTGTTATGTTTTTGCCTATATTGGCTCTTCAACTTTCTATTCATATTTACTTTCAATATTTTATGTTAATATATTATATCTATTCTCTTAATAAGTTTATCTATTTTCTTAAAGATTTTATATATTGTCTTAATGATTTTATCTAGTTTCTTCATTTTTCTATCTATATTCTTAATGATTTTTTTTATTTTCAAAATAATTTTATTTATTTTCTTAATAATTTTGTTTATTTTCTTAAAAAACTTATTTATCTTCTAAATAATTTTATTATATCTATTAATTATTTTATTTATTTTTATAATTGTTATTTTTATTTTCTTAGTAGTTTTATTTATTTTCTTGATAATTTTATTTACTTTCTTAATAATTTTATCTTTTTTCTTAAATGCTTTATATATTTTATTAATAGTTTTATTTTGAAGATAAATTTCTATCACTAAAATTAGTTTCATTATCAATATATTATAAATTGTTTTCAATATTTTAATAGTTATTTAAATGACTATATTAATAACTAATATTTAATTTTTCATTTAAATCTTATATTTTTTTCATTATTTCACTTTTTCTTTATTCTCTTTCTCTTTTTTCAACATCAACATTAGTAGATTATTAAGAAGGTAAAGTATTTCCATAATTAATTAAGACTTTATAACTTTCAGTTTTTTCTATGTTTAATTTAATTTTTTCAAAGATTCTTCAAGTAGTTAATTTTTTCCTATATAAATTATGAAAATTATATATTTATTTTTAAAAAATAAAAATACTTTTTATTTCATTCAAATCATTTTATTTATAAACATAATTATGTTTTTAATTTTTTTAATTACTCGAATTATTCAATTCTTAGCTTTTTGCTTTTTTTATTTCATTTTCTTATTAAGCAGACTTCATTAACTTTTTCTATATTTCTGCTTTAAATTTTTAGAAAGTTATTTTTTAAAAATATTATTTAAATTACAATCTTTATTTAATTTTGTATAATTTGGACTGTAAAGTTAATGAGATTGCTAAGCTGGTTTTAAATAACTTGAGTAATCTTAAAAAATAAACATTTTTTTATATTTTAGATCTTATAATATATAAAAATTGTTTTACATGTATATGATTACATTTTTATAATTTTTTCTCAGGATTTTTTTAGTTTCTTTTTATTTATTAATATATATTTAAATAAAATTTAAAATCGAAAAAAATAAATAAAATAAGTATAATTGAATTTTCTATTATTATACAAAATAAAGACAAATATAAATTAAAAATAAAAAGCAAATCAAATTATATTATTAAAATTTGAAACAAAAAATATTTTTATATATAATTTGGCTTTATAAATTAAAGATAACTATTATGACTTTATTTATCAAATTATATAGAATAGATTGTTTAATATTTATTAAAATCTAAATTTATACAAAATATAGTTAATATTGCATTTATATTTATAATTAGCATTTGGAAAAAATACCGATATATATTTTTAATATTTTGTATTAATTTTTTCATTTTCAAATAAAGGAGTTATTTATTATTCTAATATTTTTTATAAAGAATAAGTTTTTAATAAAACTTGTTAATGTATTTACCTTTTTCATCATTTTTATTTTATAATAATATTTTAAAAGTTTTTATAATAAGTAGCTAAAATTACTATTAAATTTAGAGTTAGATTATTTATATTATTTAGGAAATGCTCTATATCTAATTATTGATATTATATTTTTATTTATTTTTCTCTGAATTAATTATTTCTTCTATATTTGATTACTTAGAAAAAAATTTTACCAAGTAAATATATTATAAGTATATTTAGGTTAATTTTTACTTTTATTAGAATCAATTTTAGATGAAGAATTTTTACTTAATAATTCTTTATCTTCGAAACTGTTTATTTTTAGGAATTTACTAATAATATAATAATTATTATTTTTATTTAATTTTTAATAATAAATTTCTTATAATGTTAATTATTTGTTGAATAACTACTATCAATATTCCTTTACAAATAAAACAATGTTCATATATTATCAATTTTCAAATAAAAAGTTTATTTTATCGTTTTTTCCTCAAATAAAAATATTATCATTATATTTATTTTTATACTTTAAATTATTATAAAAATAAAAATTATATTATTTATTATTTAATATATTATATAGTTTTGATTTTTTAATTGTTTTTGAAAAAATAATTTATTTATTTTATTTTCTAAATAAACAAAAAACTCATATTAATCTATAAAAAGTTTACTTGTTTATTTATTTTATTAATTAATTAGTAATAAAATTAAATATTAACATTAATATAATATATTTTTTAAATAAATATATTAATAAATATATATTTATATTAAAAAAATAAAAAAAAAATCTATATAATTATAAGTATTTAGATATTTTTTTTAGAATAATTATCAACTTATTATATATGTAAAAAAAAATTTTTTTTACTTAATAAATTTAAATAATTTTTTTTACTAATAATATATATTACAAATATTTGTAAAATATTAAATTTAACAAAAAAATTTTAAAATCAAGCTCTTAAAGCATATTTTCTAAGACCAAAGTTATCTCTTACTTTTTAAATTCTTTAAAGAACTGCACTTCTTTATTTTTTTGTGAGTTTTCTTCTAATTGCTCTTGTTTTTTTAATTCTAATATCTAATGGCTTTAAAGATTTTCCTTTGAATTCACTTTTGACTGCACTTCTTCTTTTTTCATTAATGACAGTCAAATATTTAGCAATTGATTTTCTTACTAACTATTTTAAATAAATAAATCTTTAAAAAATAAAAGCTAATAATATAAATAAATATTTTTGTTTTTAAAATAAACAAAACAGAAAAAAAACAAAAAAATAATAATTTTTTTATAAATATTAAAATCATTTAGTTTTTTATATAGATAATCAATAAATGATTTTTAATTTATTAATACAAATAATAATATATATATATATATATATATATAATAAAATTACTTTAATTTTTCCTAATTTGTTTGCTGTACCACCAGCAATTTTTGCAACTCTTAATTAAGAAAGTTCGTCTTAAAGTTTTTACAAATCAGTTGTAAGTTAACTTTCGTTTTATGGTCTAAGCTTATGAACTCTAACTTTTTTATCCATTTTGTAATTTTGTAATTTTTTTTTTTTATTTTGTATTTTTTTTTTTTTTTTTCTTCTTTATTATAAATTTATATGTATTTTATTTATATATTTATTTAATTTTTTTAATTTTTTTTTGTTATTTTAGCCCTAAATAAACAAAAATAATTTAATTAAATGAATGTAAAAATATTATTTGTATAAATATTTATAATTTACTAAATATAATACATAAAAAAATTAATTATTGTATATTTTATTAAATGTTATTTAATGAATAATAATAATTGTAAATGTAATTTTATATATTAATGTGTTTATTTAAAGCAATCTAATTTTATTTTTTAAAACACTGATTTATATAAATGTTTTAATTATAGGTAATAAAAATAATTCACTATAATATTTAATATTTTTAAATTTCTATATATTTGAAAAGATAAAATAAGAAAGAAAAATACATTTTCCATTTTACAAAAACAACAAATACTAATCAAATATGATTAAACTCACAAAGTTAATCTATATTTTAATTTATATAAAAATAAATATTAAATTTAAATAGGAAGATTAGAGAAATTAATAAATATTTCTTAGTATAATACTGAACATTACATACAGTATTATTATTATAATCCTATATATTTTTAATTTAATATTGTTGTTTATTTATGAAATCCTGAATTAAAATCAAAATAAAGCAATAAGAATTTAAGTATAATCAAATGATTTATTTAATAATAATGTAATTTTAATTTAAGATAATAAAATAATACCTTATATATTAAAAAAAATATTAATTATATTTATAAATCCGAAACTCACAAATTTTCGAAATGAAAAATATTTATACCGAAGAAAAAAATTTATATAATAAATAATTTTACAAATATATAACATAAAATTAATTATAAAAAAAAATTACTAAATTCTTGTTATTTTAATTTTTCTTCTGAAAATTTTAAGTATTTTTGAATAATATTTTTAACAATCTTTATTTATTTATTGGTTTGCAAAAAATATTAATTAGATTATAATACTTTTAATATTTAAAAGAAAACTATTTTTTTTAAAAAATAAAATATAAAGATTTGTTTTTTTTATTTTATATTTTAAATTAATAGAATTATTCAATGATATTATGGAAAAAATGTATTTTATTTCTAAAATACATATATTTTTAAATTTCTTGAATTCTTAAATATTTATTTCTTAGTTTTTATGATTTTTTAATTAAATATCTTAGTTTAAATCAAAATTAATTTATTTTAGCTTTTAAATAAATTAATAAAAAAAACTAGATAAATTTCTTTAGAAAAAAATATGTTTTTCTAACCATAGATTTATCTTCCACTAGAAATAATAATAATCTTACTTTTTATTTTTATATTTTTGGGGATATAAGATATTGTGATTGGAGGTATATTTGAAGCTATTGCGAATTCTAATATACTAACTAATGATTTTCTAAGAAGTTATTTTAAAATTAATAAAGAAAATCGAAAAGCTAAATTATAAAAAAATAAAGAAAGATTAAAATTTAATATAATAAATAAAAATTTTAAAATAATAAATGTAAATTATAATTTAATTTAGTAATGAAATTAAATAAAATGAAAAGCCTAATTTTTATTAAAGAAATCCAAACTAATTTTTCTATTTAATTGAGTTTTTTTTTTTCAGAATAGATATTTGAACTATTTTTATGTAAAAATAAGCATTATTTAAAATTGATCTTTTCCTTATTAAACCTTCTATTTATTTAGCGTAATTTATTAAATTTTATTGTTTGATTGCATATTAAGTTACCTTCTTTTTTTATACTTTGCTTATATAGTTTTTAAAATCGAGATATTTTACTGTTTTGTGTTTTTTAAATAAAAGAATTTTTTTAATTATTAACATTTTTACTTTTTTTTAGTAATTAAACAAAACAATATACACATAAACAAAATTTTGTTAAAATATAAGATAAAATAAAACATGAAAATAGAATAAAAAATATATAATTATATTATAAAAAATTAAAGTATATTGATTTTCATAATTTTTAAATAATTACATTTTATTTATAATTATTTTATTAAGGTATATTTTATTATTAGTCCATTTATTAATTTGGGTTTTAGATATATTATTAAATTTTGATATTTTAATTATTTTCATAACTACAATAAAGCTATTTTCTAATAATATCATTATTTTCTAATCCAATACTTTATTAGTGTCTTTTTACATTTAAATCAGTTTCATTATAATTGTATTTATCTTTCTAAAGATTATAATGGTTATTGTCAATATTATATAGTTTATTTTCTTTTTATTTAATGTTAAGCCTAAATTATTATTATTTTATATTTTTTAAATTTAATTTATATTTTAATTATTGTTATTATTCATAAAATCATAATTACTGACATTAAATTAATTTAGTTAATTATTAAAATATAAAAAATTATTATTTATAAATTAAAATTAATTTATAGGATATTGATTATTATGAAAGAGTTAATTATTTATTTGATTATTATATTATTATTTTACATATTTTCTATATAATATATTATTTGATAATTATAATATAAATACTTTTTTTTTATATTATTTTTACTTTTTAACTTTATTTTTGCAATTTATAGATGAGAAATCTGGTTAATTGAAATAGTATGTTTAAGATTAATTTTCATTTATTGCTATAGTATCTTTAGTAGATTATTAATCACTTATTTAATTTTAGGAATATAAAAATTAATTCAAATAGTAATTTTTTTAATTTTCAATTTGAAATTCTTTACTTATTTCATTTATATTTTTCAAAAATTAATTATTTCTAAAATTCTTTTTATGTTAGATAGAATCAACATGCTAAATTATTAATTAATTAAAATAATAAAAATAAATTTAATTTTATAGTTAAATATATTTAATATTTTACATTTTGATATTATTCATATGAAAACCTACATACACAACAATAATTGTGTCTTTTTCCAGGTTTTGGTTATAATAAAACAAATTTTTATTTAGCAAATTCTTTTTTCTCCATATGTTCTTTTTAAAATCTTTAATCATTTTTTAAATAATATGACTAGTAAAATTAAATTAATATCAATCATAACAATTTTTTTTTTAAAAAAAGGAAAAATATATTATTAAATATATACTTTATCAATTTCCAAAAGAAAAGTCGGCATATGAGGTTTATTATCATTATTTAATTTTGGAATAATGCTTAAACTATTATTTTTATAAAAAATTAATTATGAAAGAAAAAATATAAATAATATAAATAAATTTTTTATAGATATATAAGAAATAATTATCAAAATACATATTTTGATTATATATGATTAATAATTTGTATATATATTTATTTATAATATATTACTTTTGCTAAGGTTAAAAATTTACTACAACTATATTTTAATAATAGCAATAACTTGACTTAGGTTTTATAATAAAAATGTTCATTTTAGATATTTTTGTTTAGCTTATCTTTTTTTCAGCATTTTATCTTTTTTAAATATAAAAATATATAAAAAAAAAATTGCAATTCAAAGAATATTTTAAAAATAAATGATTTTTTTTATTATTTTTCTAATTACTTAAACAAAAAATATCAAAAATATAAATAAAAAATTACTTAAGACCATATTATGAATTTAACTCAGATTAATTTACTATTTTAGATTTATTCTTAGAACCTTTTGGTCTTCCTTTTTTTCTTTTGTTTTACTCAATAATAACTAGGTTAAAATTGTTCATTTTTTTTTTTTTTCTTTTTCTTAAAATAGTAAAAATAAATATATATATATAAAGTATATTTAATTTATATAAGTATATTTATAAAATAAATTATGAGTATATTTATATTTTTTTATTCATAAAAATAATTAATTTAATATTTTTTTCTTTTTAAGTTAATTAATTATTGAAAAAAATTATTATTTTATAATATTTATTATTTATTTATAATTAAAACAAACATTTATATATGAAAAGTTATTGTGTTATCATTTTAAATTTTATTTTTATATTTAATATATTTATTTTTATTAATGTTTTTTATATATTTTTTTTTTTACAGAATTAAGTTTTATTACTCTTTTAAAAAATAAAGGTTATTAAAAAAAAGCAAATATATAAAATAATTAGAAGAAAAAATTAAATTTAAAGTTAATTAAGTATAGATTTTTTAATAATACAAAATTTAAAAAAAATAAACTATATAATAATAATTATTTTTAAAATGCAGTATAAAGTATATAAAATAAATTTTTAAGATAAATGGAAATTAATAAGTAATTTTACATTTAAAAAGCTTTTTTACATAGAATTTAATATCCATATAGTATATATGAATTTTACTTATTATTTTATATAAAGAATATTTTTATTTTTTTAAAAAAAATTTTCTATAAAAAAAAAAAAATTATTATAAAATTTATTAATAAATTAAATTCCATCTAATTATTTAAATATACCAAAATAATTTAAAGTTAAAAAAACATTTTAAAAAGCATAGAATAAGTATACAAATAAAAAATGTTATAATAATATATAATACATTGAAAATATTTAATTTTAAATTTTGCAAAATATTCTCTATTACACTGTATATTATATACAATATATAATTATACTCTGTTCCTAAAAATAAATATTTTTTTTAGTTAATATATATATAATAAATATATATAATGATATAAAATATAAATATACTCCTTTTTATTTTTAAATAATTTTAAGTATTTTTTGCAATATTAAATTAATCTTAAAAATTATTCGATATTATTTTATGTTCTTAAGTTCCTTTTATTTTCTGTTTAATTTTAATAATTAATTAATGCATGATTTCTAGTAGCAGGATTTTTTCTTTCATAATCATTATCAAATCTCAAAATAAAGTTTAGATTCAGAATAAGTACTAATAGAATTCCTTTAATAAGAAAAATATAATCAGTAATTTATTACATACAAAGTAGCATAATTACAACTGGAATTCCAAAAATGCAAGCTTTGCTTTATCTATGTATAATCTTAATTCCCATTAAAAGAAAAAATATCTAAAAGAGTGAAGAACAATACAATAATTTAGCATTTCTATAGTTTTATCAGATAATTTTTTACATATGCTTTCTTTAACTATTCTCCTAAAATTAAGGTTATATTTATCTATATAATAATACATAATGAGACTGAGACATAAAAGAATTGTAGGACAATAAAAAAATGTAAACCATATTGTTTTCATGATATCTGCATATCTTTTTCCCATAAAATATTCGGAAAATTCTATTAAAGTATTAGCTCTTGTTAGGTCAAACTTGATTAATTACCTTTTTTTTTAAGTTCATTTTTTCTTTTAAAGAGTTTTATTGTTACCCAAGGGTCTATTAAGCATACTAAATATGGCACAAAAAAATTCATAACAAACGCAAGAAACTCTTAATAAATTATTCCTCCTCCGATTCCGTAATAGTTATGAAAAAGTATTCAACACAAAATGTTATTAATAATGTATTTATAAATAGGGCAAAAGTTAACCTTGATACATAAGAAATATTAAGTTATGTTTTTACGAACAATTTCTCTTTATCAACTATGTGAGAAAGATTATTAAATTAATTTATGAATTATTATATACTTTTCCGTGTTTTTTAAGAGTATTTTCATACGTATGCTCTGTTTATATTGATTATTAGTGAGAAATAAATGCAATTGCTCCAAAAGTGCAACATGATAATATAACCTTTTATTCTTACTTTTATATGATCTTTCACTTTACATGAATAAATTATCAATCTATATCATTTGGTTCTGGAGCTTGTTCAATAAATAAGTGCCTTTCTTACAAACATAAAGAATTATTATATATTTAAGACTTACTTACCATCATTAAAATAATAAAGGAATTACTTCCATTTGTTTTTTGGATTATTTTGTAAAGCTTTGCCTTTTTCATTTCATGTTTAAAAGCTTAGTAATGCGATACCAGCAAATTTCGAAGTGTCTTTTTATATTTGAATTTCTTTGTTTTCTAATCCTAGTGTAATTAACTATATTTCTTAATTAATTTATTTAATTTAAGTGTTTTCTAAATCAGATTTTTTATTTAGCATTTACTTTTAATTTGATTAATGATCTATATATTCTAATTAGTTAGTATTACACTAAGATATCATTATTTACTTCTATTTATTTATTATGAACTGATTAACTTATAAATAGGCTTTTTATTGTTTCTAAAGGATTTTAAAGTTCATGAGATATATTAAATACAATAACACTAAAGTTAGATGGAGTTGAATTTTTTTGATCTACTTCTGCTTCAATTGATTTTTATACTTTTCTAAAAAAAAATCCTAGAATTATTTAGATAAAAACAGCAGTAGTAAAAAAACTAATTTTTCTTTATTATTAGAATTATTTAATTAATTAATTTGCGATAGAAAAAATTACAAACTCATTTTTTGCATATGGAGCTATAAAATTTGGATCAGGATGGAGTTTGTTTTCTTCTATTTTTTGATGGAATTTTTCTATACTGCTGTAGCAATATTACCCTTAATAATTATATACTTTATTTGGAATAACTTGAATTAAAAATAGAAAAGTCAACATAATTATACTAAACTTTAAATAATTAATAAATAAAGGAAATCCTGAACTCATAAAATCTAACTATTTCTTATCAGAGATAATGCATATTTACATGCAATTTCCCAATCTGGTGGTATTTTTAGCATATCATAGTATAGGGCGAATATTCTAAATTTAAAGCTGGAGATATATTATTATTTGAAATTTTTAAGAAATATTAATCACAGGCGCATTTTTTTTTTTTAAGGACGTTACAATTTTAATAAAATATTTTACGATTGATTGAGCTGGTTAAACTACCTAGCTATTTTAATCAATAAAGCTTGTTAATTTCATCATATCAGCATTTTTATAATTAATTTTCTTTTTTTTATTGTAAGAAAATAATATTGGTGGCTTATCGTACATCAAGTACTTAAATTTCTGTTTAAACTTTTATTTTTTTAAGCTTATTGTCTCCAAAATTTTTAATTTATGATATTGAAATTTTTTTATAAAATAATATAATATAAAAATAATATTATTAATTAATATTATATTAAATTTTATAGTTATTAAATATAAATATATCTTTAATTAAATAAAAATGTGGAATATATACATATCATATTAGCAGAAATTTAATACAATAGCAATATAAAAATAATTAAAAAAATTGTATTTTAAAATGAATGTTAATATCTTATTTATTATTAAGATTAATAGACTTTTGTTCTTTAAATTATGGGAAATAAACAAATAATTAATTATTTAAAAATTAATTTTGAAAATATTTTTAAAAAAGAATTTTAATATTTTTTATTTTAAAAAAAAATATTTTATAAAAAGGTATAATAATTATTCAATGCAAATAATTAATAAATAAAGTAAACAATTAAAATTTAAAACTATTTTTTATAAAAATTACATGTAATGTTATTTATTAAATGAAAATAATATAGTAAAAAATGTAATACTACTATTAAATTTATAAATATTAATAATGAATATAATTAAAAAATTAAATTAAATTATGATAATTTAAATTTATATTAATTTTTTATTTATTTAAATATATAAAATTTTATCATTTATTTATTATTGATTTCTAGCTTTTTATATTTAAAATATATTATCTACTTAAATTTTTGTCAATTTTTTGTTTGAAGAACAGCTGAAAATTTTTAACATTAAAAGAATTAAATTAACTATTTTAAGAAACTAAATAATCTTTTTATGAATCAAGATTTTTTTAATAATATAAATATTAAAAACATTCAGATTTATTAAATTAAATAAAAAAAGAACAACTAAAATTAATATAATAGAAAATGAACTTTTTTTTATTTTTTTTCAGAAAATTAGTTTAATTAAATAAAAATTTAGAATGTTTATATTTATAATTAAATTTTATATTTTTGATTTCAAAAATGATAATTATTTTATTTATTTATTTTTAATATAAATAAAAGCACTATATCAAAAATTTGTTTTAAAAAACATATTTTATATATATATATATAATATATATATATATATATATATAAAATATATAAAATATATTTAATCTATATAATTATAGATATTTATAAAACGTATATTTATTTATAATTTTAAATATTTTCTTTTTATAATATTTTAATTTAATATTATCTATAAAAATTTAGATACATAAAAAACAATGCTACCTAACTTATAAAATTATATTTTTTATATTTTATTTTTATTTATAATTTAAAATTTTCTTTATTTTTTTATTTTATTTTTCTTTGTCTTAAAAATATATCTTTTTATTTTAGTTTGTATTTTATAAAATGATATAGTTATTTTTTATTTACCTATTATTTTGCTAAAATGTTATTTTCTTTTTTTCTTTTTGAAATTAAAATAATAATAATATAATCAGAATTTAAATCAAATTGTTATACTTTTTTTTATAAATAATTTATTAAAATAAAAAATGTATTATATAATAATTAATTTTTTTTTATTTTTTTATTAAATTAAAAGTTTTAACAATATTTTTTGAATAATTTGATATTTAATTTTAAATAAATTTTTTTAAATAAAAAAAATTGACTTATAATATAATTTCTTCAATCTACATATAGAGTAGGCTAAATAAAACTATAATACTCTTACAATTCTTCTGTATAATCATTAACAAAAGCTCTAGTTAATTCTGGTTTATTAGCTTCTTTTTCGATTTTAAAGCATTCCAAAACTTAATAGGGGCTACCTCCAAAAACAAATAAGCAATCATCGTTCTAATATTTGTTTTTTCCTATGACTTATCCATATCTTTAGACTACTTTTAAATCTTTTATTTCCTTATACTTACAAATATTAGTAGAATCGTCAATGTTTAATTTTATAATAGCAGATTTAGGTAAATCTTCAGACGATAAAATCTACTTATTGTCAATATTATCTTATAAATAAATACCTCCAAATAAATAAATTTATTCATTTATAGAAATTAGACTTCCTGCTCTTGTTATTTTCGTCTTATCTAAGCTTTTTTTAACTTCAATTTATTCCCATAATTCGCCTTCAGGATTATATTTTTCAAAGCTTAATTCATTATAATTTTCAGTAAACATTTTCTTTTTTAAAAAAAATATTAACAAAAAAGAATATTATATTATAAATAATTATAAAATAAATTTTTACAGAAAATCCTCCATAAACATAAATAAATTTTCCATGTGAAACAGCTGAAAAGTCACTTCTTGGAATATTCATAGAAGGAAGTTAAATCCATTAGTTATTTTATAAATCAAAAGAAGAACAATCATTTATAATATTATGATTAGAAACTCCTCCAATTACATAAAGAATATTATTATGGAATACTGATTGATGATGTGAACGACTAATAGGCATACTTTGAAGATAAATAGCATTAAATTCATATTGTTCAGACTCTTCATCTAATTAAATATTAATTTAAATAGTACTAGCAAGATAAGGAGAATCTTTGAGGAAAAGTTCTTTTTCTGATTGCTCTTTATTTTCTTCATTTCCTTCTTTGATTTCTTCTGTTTATTTTTCTTTATTAAGTTCCTATTCATCAAAACAAATACCAGCTTAGTCGCAATATCTTTTATCGATTTAAATTTTATGGTTTTCAGTTTTACTTTTTAAGATTTTTATGGAATTTTAGATATTTTTTTTTTCAGTTTAAAGGCTTTTTTTTGCTTCCTCTATGCTTTTAAAATTAACATTTGGGTATTTTTTTGATAATTCAGATTCTAATCTTAAAACTTATTATTTTGAAGATTCATTATCTTATTTATTTTCTAAATATTAATTTATTAAGTTTTTATAATTATTTAATTATTCAATTTCTTCATTTGCTTTTTTCTATGCGTTGAATTTCTCATTTAAAAAAGGATAATAGTCAGTTTTCATTTGCACTCCACCAGTCATTATATATTAGTTAGGTCCAACTCTCGAAATACCGAAAAATTAAGGCCAGTCAAGGGCAGAAAATTCATTTTTTTCCGAACTTTTTACCAGTTCAGGACATACAATTACAGGATCTTCCTCGTCATGAATTTCGTAAAAAGGTAAATAGTATTTACAAATGTTTTCTATATTTTAGCTATTACTTTCATTTATAAATGTTATTTCTTCAGATTCATCATCTTCTTTTATAAAAGGTGTAAATTATAAAAATCCTTTTGGTCTTTAGATACTCATTATTAATTATTAAGTATTTATTTTTATTTTTAATTTTGATTATTAAAAAATAGAAATTATGTATAATTATTTTTATAAATTAATATAGATATTTATATAAAAAAAAAATATATTGAATTAAATTTTATATAATAATTATTTTTATATAATATTTTTTTTATTTAAAATACAACATTGATTTATTTGTATTTCATATTTATTTATTTTACTTAACAATTATAATAATAATAATTATGCAATTATTAAGTATAAAATCTATTATTAATATTTTTATATATTATAAAATTATAGTTTAAATTTTTACTATTAAAGTAAATTATTAAAAACTAATAGTTTTTTTTCAACGAAATCTGAAAATTTTCTTATTTTAGTTTTATTATTATTATTTAAATATACATAATTTGATATATTTTTATCAATTTTACTATTTCATTTTTATTTATAAATAATTTTAAAATCTAAAATATTTTATTTAAAAAGAATTTATATTTTTTTTTAACTTATATTTTACTATATATTTATAATATCTCAATTTTTTTCCTATTTGTTTAATATTTAATTATTACTTATTATAATTATATTTTATTAAGATATTTATTATTTGATTACTAATATTTTATACTTATCCTTTGATTAATTATCAATTTCGTTATTTTTTAAATTTATTTTCAACTTAAATAACATTATTCTGTTATTTATCAGATATTAATATAACATTAATAACTCATTTTTTAAAAAAATTAAACAATTTATATTTAAAATAATTAAAAACAAAAATACCAAGACAGCACAGCAATCAATTATTATATAATCACGAGTAGCATTAAAAAAAAAAAAGAATCAATTTATTAAATTAGTTGAAAATCTATTCGATTTTTTTGTTTTATCACCAGGAATTGGTTAATTATTTAAATATTGTTAATTTATTGATTAAATAATTTATTTTATTATTGTTTATTCTTTATTTATAAAAATAAAAATTATTATATTTATTTATAGGTAATTTAGTATATTATATTTGCTTGATTGCTTTGTCTCAAAGTTTTACAGAGAGAGAATATAATTATTTTTAATTTTATTTTATATATATTATATTTAAATTTAATACATTTATTTTAATATATTTTCATTATAATAAAAATGTATTAATTGTTTAACTAATTAATTAATTATGCACATCATTTTATAATATTTAAAAAAATAAAACAAATTAATTTTTATCTTTAATTATTACTTAAAACAACTATATATATTTTCTCTTATTTATAATAAATGGTTTGGTATTTTATACTTCTTTTTGTAAATATAAATAAAATTATGAATAATTTATAGAAATTATTAAACTAAATAATAATAATTATATGTAAAAATTTATTAAATTTATTAATATAAATTATTTTATTTAATAGTTTAATTTATATATTAATTTATTCAACAAAATCTAGGTTATAATTCTCTAATAAAATCCTTTAAATAAATTCCTTAAGTATATTCTGGATTAAATAAAATTACAATAAAGAAAGTTTCTTCTTTACTAATATATATTCCATTTTGTCCAAGGAATTAACGCAAAGCTTCTAAATTTAAAAAACTTGTTTAAATTATTTAGTTAAATAATTAATTTAAATCTAATTCTTTATGTTAAATAATTTTTCTTTATTTTTCTAAAGATAATTCAAGATTTAATAATGATTTTATTAATTTTGTCATCATTTATAAAGTGTTTTATGATAAATTTTAAATATTTATGTATTACTTTTTTTCAAAAAGGTGAACCATTGATTACTTTGTAAAAGGACAAATCATATTTAAGAATTCCTATTTACTTAAAGAATAAAAATTTTAAAAAATATTTTCTTAATTATTTTAAATTATAAATATCAAAAATGTACCTAAAGTTATTATTTTTCTAATTCGAATACCTCATAATTAATAATCTGATATCCTCTTCGTCTGCTTATATTTTGAAAAATTTTAAACCTTCAATAATTTAACTAATTGATAATAGTTCATTTTTAGATTCTTAGTCAAATATTTCGTAAAAAAGTTCGAAGTTATAATCTGACTAAACTGCTAATTTTGTTCTTTAAAATAATTATTAAATATATATATATATATACTATTATTTTTTTGTAAAAATTATTTTACTTTAAATATTCTATTTCTCTTGAAAAATGAAGAATTATCTTAAAATAATCTGTTATATATTCCTAATTATTTTATTAAAATAAAACATTATTAATATTTCTTTATTTTAATGTAAATTCATCAAATTTTTCTATTTAAGGACTTTGCAAATTTGCTATCCAATATAGATTTTGCTTTTATTAATAATTTTGTTCATTTTTTTCGTTTTCAAGTTTTCGACTATTTTGTAAGTCTTCATATTTAATTTTAATATCCAATTGCTAACTAAATTTGCATTTTTATTCGTTTAGAAAATTTGATTTTTTTATCTCATAATTCTAAAATACCTACGGTTGCTAACTTCTATAAGGTGTATTTTATTATTAATTATATTCAGGATATTGATAATTTTATCTTTGGTTTATTTAACTTGTTTTAATAGGATACAATTCTTAATAACTATTTTTATTTTAAATAGACTATGGAACAGCATAATAATTTATCGTTTTTTATAATGGCTATTTGTATAAGTTTTAATTATTTTATTAAAATAATTAAGTTTGTGATTTATTTTGGAAAAGTTAATAACTTTATTGATAAAATTATGGTTTACTTGAAATCTGGTTTGGTTATTAAAATTATTATGAATAATTAAATTATCTTTATGTCATATGATTTCTTGGTTTTTATTACGGAGAAAATAATAAATAATTTTATTTTTTATTATCCATATTACAAATATTTTTTACTTAAAAATATTATTTAAAAATTATTTATATATATAGTATATATAAAAAAATTATGTATTAAATATAATATTTTATTATATCTCTATTTAAATTTTGAATATTTCTTTTAATTATACTAATTAAAATTATAATGACATTGTAAAAGTATGAAATTTAACAAAAAAATATATATATAAAAAATCATTTATCTTATTTTAAGTTTAAAATATTTTTTTTTTATAATAAAGTTGATTATATTTATAAACACTTTTTTATTTTCAAATTAATTAAAGTGAGTTTATTCTACTTTTTTTAGAGCTAAATCATATTTCTAATTATTTTTCTTTAAGTATTAGACTCAATAATCAAACATACTTCTTTATTAAAATATTATAATGATTCATTATTTGTTTTTCGAGGAATACATTTTATAAACGCAATTAATTTTATACGGATATAAATGTTAATTTATAAGATCCATTATTTAAGCTTTTATTATTTAATTTAATTTATTGATAGATTATTATTATTAATATATATACATTTACTTGATTATTTATTACATATTGTTAAATTAAATTTTATTTAAAATAATTATTTTCTTTGCTCTTTTATTATTCTTTAAAATTATTAAATTTACTACAATTAATTTAATTATTTTTGATTAAAATTGTTATGGACTGAATTATTTTAGAAGTTTCTATAATTAGATAAATTTTAATTATTATCTGATATGGTTCTCATAACTAACTTGTTTAAGTATAAAGCTTATTAATATTTTATTATTGAGTCTAGTTTTTACTTAACTTTTAGTTTATTTATGTTTTAGTATTTAATTGGTTTCATTTATTATTATTTAATAAGATATTTTATTATTATTTATGTTAAAATTAGTGTTTTTAAAATTTTTAAGTATTATTTAAGTCATTTTATTATTTTTAAAATCATTAATGCTTTTTAATTTGCTTTTAGTTAATTTTTCTAAAATTAATTATTATTTTAGTTTATTTTTTATGTTATTTGTTTAAATGTAGATTTATTGATTTTATTTTTTTTCCCAATTTATTTATTAAAAGATTAATTTCTAGAATTTTAATGCGATTAATTAATTACACACTAAAATAAATAATTAAATTAAGATTTATATATTTTTTATGCTCATTTTTCAAATCAAACTTTTTTAATAAAATTTTATTAATTTTCTTTAAAACATAATTTTTATTAAGAATTTTAATTGCCAGTTTTTGCTTTCTTTTAATCATTTTTTGTTCTTTTTTGTCATTGTTAAAAAGGAAATCAATTTTTATTGAAATTATTATTTTTTTAATTTAATTATTAAAGTTTTTTTATTCAAAGATAACAATTTTCTTATTTTTTCATTTATTATTTTATTGTATTTATTTTTTAGTCTTCTAAGAATGGAAAATCAATTACTTTATTTATTTATTTTAAATCTTAAAATAATTAAAAATTTTCTCAAAGATATTCTTTTCCTTATATATAGAATTTAATTTTCAAATTTATTTTTATTTAATGTTTATTATCTTAATAATTACATACTTATTATTACTATATATAATATTTAATGTTTTCTATTGAAAATTTATGTTTTTCATAATATTTTAATATTTTTTTTCTATTAGGTTGCTGTTTATGTTTTTACATTCTTATTAATTTAATGTAATAAAATTCTTATATATTTTAATTAAATAATTATTTTCTTTTTAATTTATTTAAAATTAATAATGATTTTTTTCTTATTAATAATTTTAATTTGTTTATTTAATTATTTTTTAATTTCTAGATTATATATATATTTAAAATGATTTAAAAAGATAAATTAATAGAGTTGTATTTATTTCAATATAACTGTATTAATTATTATTTAATATAACAAAACTTTCTTGATTTTTAAATTAATAAATACTATTTTATAAATCATAAGTTTGATTAATTTCTTGTTTCTATTCAGAAAGCTAATATAAATAATGAAAATTTTAATTAAAAAAAATTTAATAAAATTATAAGAAAGATAAAAAAAAATTTAAATATATATAATGAATTTTTTTTAATAATAATTTTTAAATAAAAAAAATTATTATAAATAGTTTTTAGATATTTTTATTTTTTCCTGTGATTTTTTTT